TCTAGTGCAGCGAAGAACCGACCAACGCTGGTAGTTTGGGCCGAGAAGAGGGGGTATTTCGCCGTGCGACGCACGATTCACGGCGGACGTGGGGCACCCTCAGCATTTCCGGCGGTCGACCTTTTGGACCAGTTCGTACTTATTCCATCAGTGGGCTGCTTGTCCGGAAGCCCATGCACTATGCACTGCGAAGTGGTTGGCGAGTCGGTCGGGTTTCTTGGTTATTTGACCGGTGCTTTGTCCCTAAGGATTCGATTTTCGTGATTATCGAATTGCCCGATGTCGCGGCGGGGGGACAGCTGGCAGAATCCTCTGCGATACCGTTACCAGGCAGCACCGTCACTGGAGCTTCTGAGCCGTCCGATCGCGCGATGGACGCGCGGGCGCCGATCGCGACGTCGTTTTTATGGTGAACTTCATTTGGTAGGCCCCTGAGCCTGCGTTCGAGCACAATACGCTGTCTGCAATTCTCAACGCCGGGCGAAAATTCTGTCAAGTAGGGTACATAGGGTACAACAAGTTTGTCAGGGCTGATCCCACGGTTCAGCGGTGTTGGAAGCACCAATCGACGGCATCGCATCCGCGAAAGGTTCCCACGAGGTTGGACCGTTCGGGCAGAGCCTAAACAGTCTCACGTGTCAAGCGGCCGGGGAGTTCGCTGCAAGCTGCACCGTGATCCTCAGGGCAATCGTCCAGAAGGATCCACGTTTGAGGCTGTGAACTCCTGAGGTTGAGGTGGCACATCTGAGCCCCGCGATTGGCTGGACCTGCCGCAGCAGATCAGAAGCCTGGAGCAGGGTGCAATTGCGGATAAGAAGCCGTGGGAAAGAATCAGACTCTTTAAGCTTCCTTATAGATTTGCAACGTCTTCCAGGATTACAAGCGGTAATCCAGGATACTCACGTTGTAAAATCCTTAGGTCCAGGAGTGCAGCATTGTCTGCATTGCGCACATTGCTCTCTCGGAGTGTTTCTTCGTGCTGAAAAGGCCTTGCAAGCTCTTAGGGAAGCTTCCCAAATCTCAGACGCACGCTCACCTCCTCCACCACACACCACCCTTTGCAGCCGCTCCTCCCTTAACCAAAATGGCTGCCGTCGGTATTTGCGCTCGCGCCGTCGCCACCCCGGCGGCGTTCGCTACCTCCAGCAGCAGCCTGAGCTCCAGCAGGGCGATCGCCGCATTCCCCCTTGCTTACCTGCAGAATGGATCCCGCACAGTCATGAGGGCAGGGACCAGGAAGGTCACCCGCTCGACCAGCGGCCGCAAGCTGAACTGGATCCCCGCATACAAGGCAGACAATGACTTGAAGAACCCCTCGTGGTTGGATGGCAGGTGAATTTTCACTCAAATTTAAACCGGTGCAGAGGGTTGGATCCCTGTCGTCTGAAACATCCATCTCTGGACTGACGCGAAGCCAGAATGGAGTCCCTGCATTGCCTGCTGAGAATAGCCGATTCAAAGCTTCTTTCGACAAGGTCACAGTACCACATTATAAGGAGGAAGTTTGCCAGCTTGGGTGGTTGATGAGATGCAGAAAAATACCGTTAAAAAAAGAAGATTATTTTTCTCCTTATGCTGGTTCAATGATCCAGCTGACTGCTGAAAGCTCAATCTACCATGTTTATCTTCAGCAACATTACTGTATGGGATTCTATTAGTCTGGGAGATTTAGTGCACAATCACCTTTCCACAAAGAAGCCTGCAGTTATATCTTGGAGAGACAGGGAAATTTGCAATAGGATACCAGCACAAGATTATATCAGAAGAAGATAGTAGAAGACTGTATTGCACAGACAGCAAGTCTCTAGGGTGACAGCGTACAGTCTTCTGTCACAGAAACATAACTGGTGTGAATGTATCTGAAACTTTCTTGTAAGAAACCATTGTCACTAGCAGTGTGGGTCAACATAAAAATGCAAAGGAGTCTGCAAGAGGAGTTAGGTTGAAACATTGGGAGGAACAGACAAGGGCCAAGGAGATCTGATAGTGCAGGCCCACTGTAAAAGTTTTGCCACAAATAGTAGGAAGACCGGGAGCTGTAGATTCTCAATGTGCAAAATACTCCTAGGTCAAGTGTGGAAATGGTTTGTCAGAAGGCAAACAGTCCGGCTCGTTGATTAGCACACTAACACGCGGAGCCACTTCATAACCTGATCAGAGCAACTATTCTTCAAGCGCTAATTAGACCTTCCAAAGAGACCTGCCAAGTCTGGAGCAGCAGTTGCTGAGAAGCTTCGCAAGAGCTCAGAGCCAGGACTTGCAGAATGGTCGACGAGCCCTCCTGAAATGATGCAACTGGTGACTGAGTTTGTCTTCCCTCTTCTCTGCAGCCTTGCCGGAGACTATGGCTTCGACCCTCTTGGCCTTGGTAAGTCCAAATGCCAGATACAGTTTGACATCATTGCACTCCTCCCTTCAACTCCTGAAAGACTGCTAGCTATTAGGCCTTGAACCTAGATTCAGGTACATACACAAGGCAAACCAGCTGCTTCTTGGGTAGCTGTGGACACCAGTACCTTGGTCTCTCAGCCTTGTGGTTGTCTTTTCTGGTCAGCATCCCAGCCGCATAGATGCAGATCGATTCAATCTGTCAGTGTCAGCAGTTCTGTTCCTAAGGAAGGTTGCAATAAGCTGAGCCTGCTTGAGGGCCTGGCTGCAGACCAGAACTGAGGGTAGAATAAGGTATCCAATGCGTCAATGATCCAGGTTTTTGCGCAACATAGGGTCTGGGAGACACTTGGGTTCCTGTGGAACAGACAGTTTTAATTATCCAGACTCGAAGAGCGGCCGGACATAAAGCATTACCAGGAATACCCTCAAAAGATGGAGCGCCATTTTGAAGCCACCGAAGATCCCTTCCAAAAGCCAGACTCCCCAAGCCTGAATCAAGATCATGCCCTCCACTCGGTAGCTTTCCTTTAATTCAGGAGAAAGCGAGCTGTGAATATGGATCTGCAACAGGCTCGTATTTTTAAAATAATGCCAAGGCTGCAAAAGCTAAATAGGCTGTCTCTGCAACCACAGGAAAGGACCCCGCAGCCCTCAAGTGGTACCGTGAGGCCGAGATCATCCACGGACGGTGGGCCCTTGTTGCCACCCTTGGCTGCCTGATCGGCCAGGCCTTCAGCGGAATCCCCTGGTATGAGGCCGGTGCCGCCCCCGGCGCCGTTGCGCCCTTCACTTTTGGAACCCTTCTCGGAACCCAGATCCTGCTCATGAGCTGGGTGGAGGGCAAGCGGTGGGTCGACTTCTACAACCCGAGCTCGCAGTCGGTCGAGTGGGCTACTCCTTGGTCCAAGACTGCCGAGAACTTTGCTAACTACACGGGCCAGCAGGGATACCCCGGCGGCAAGTTCTTCGACCCCTTCGGTTTGGCTGGGAAGGTGACCGGCGGCGCGTACCAACCCGACTTCGCCAAGCTGGAGAGGTTGCAGCTCGCGGAGATCAAGCACGCGCGGTTGGCGATGGTTGCGATGCTCATCTTCTACCTCGAGGCTGGCCAAGGGCTGTCCCCCCTGAGCCCCTTCGGGTTGTAGATAGCGCATACGGGTTGTAGCTAGGTGTTTGTCCTTGTAATAAGTCCGTCACAGATCCGTGTAATAAGTTTCCAAACAGTCAGATTGAACGGGCAGGTTCCATAGGAGCTGGTTCGTGTCGACTCGCAGTCGTACCGCTGTGCCACGATCAGGCGGCGTGGTCAAATTGACCTTCTCCAAGTGTTTGTTTTGGATGCAAGGCAACAGAGTTTCAAGTATAATCGAATGTGAACGCCTTGTTCCAATCCCTACAGCGGTCACTTGGACGCGCTGTTCTTGATTATAGGCAATGCTCAACACACATGCACTTCTGGCGGCCATCATGTAATTGGTTCGAAACTGATCGGAGACAAGTCTAGGCACACATTTGCAATGCATGACGGTGAGCTTCCGATTGAGTCCAGCTGTTGTGATCCTAGCAACACTGAAGCTTCGGCATGGGATCGATCTCATCATGGCGCAGCTTAATAGATGTAATAAGAAGCTCAGTGCCTGGAGCTATATGAGCATGCTCTGCTCATGGCTTAAACCGTCAGCATGATGTGTCTAAACAATCGAACTGAATGACACTGACTGAAACCGTCGCTGCATGCATGTAATATCCGCGGTGTATAGGACACGGGGCTGACAACTTGCATGAATGTCACTCGATCAACACCGAGGAGATGATGAACGCGATCGCGGACCTGATCTACAACCGCTTCCGCAAGGGGAAGGACAAGGAGTAGTCAAATTTTAGTGTCCTATTAGCACGGATAATCTACCCCGTCGCAGCATTGAAACATCTCATTTGCATAACATCCGACCCATCATGCATCTGGCACTTGCTAGCTAGAGTAATTTGTTAGCATGCAGTCTAGGTTACTTGCATCCACCCGGACATGACTTACAATTCCGTAGCAAGTTGTAGAGTCAAAAACACCCATCCCGGCTTGGCCGGAGACCGTGCTCAATGGCTGAATGAGGCTAAGGGCGTTAATAAATTGGAAGTTACCATCATGCAGATCGAGTCATGCAGCAAACTGAGTGCGCCTACCGCCGCAGACCAGCTCAGACAGTTAAGTATAATACTCAGCATGGGCAACCATGTACGAATGGTCCCACACGTACAGCCTTCTATATATAATGCCGAATCCATGTCATGCATGATGCATGCCCCGGCGCCTGCGTTTGGGACCATGTGCAACTTAATACCATCATTATTGAATTGCGAAGCGTCACACGTGGCCATCAAAGCTTCATAGACTTTGAAATACACGAAGTATAGGTCAATATGACTATGTGTTGTCGGATCTTAGACAACGCACAGTGGTTGCCGCCACATACAAAAGCATAGGACTTGAGATCGTTTGTTTGGCCCTCTCAACTCAAGACATTGATCATTACGCTAATCACATGAGTAACGTCTGAGTCTACCATCATGCCATCGAGCTGAACAAACATGGCGCAGATGCATCCCGCAGCTAATTTGGAGGGAAACGAGTACTATTAATGCGCACGCCATACGTGCCATACTTCATCGTATATCGCAGACGAATCGTTGCATAATTTAGACATTCAAGCTCCACTTTTTTACGCTTTCCTTCCCCCGCACTGATCGTCCTGCAGCTTCGTAGTCTCTAGTCCCAAGCACCACACCTGTCCTTGCCATCTAAATCGGGCTTGTCAATATAGCACCTTTTGCCTCCCAACTTACACATGGTTCCAACGCACACTCTGCGCCACCTTCTGAAGCACCTAGCATATGCCAACATTACGTCCGCCTGCTTTCGAACCGGTTATCTGTTCCTGCTGCCGTGTTTTGATGCCTGAGCCTTTGCGCTGTCTCCTCGCCAAATAGGGTCTGCGTTCCAAACCCCTCGCTTCCGCTGCCGGGCCTATCCAGCTTCTCAACACCCACTTTCCGAGTAATATCACCCACACCGCAACCAGCTTCTCCGTATACTTTGCACTTTACAAGCAAACAAGAAGAACACCTCCTTCACACTCACCTTTACCGCTCCGTCCCCCCCCTCCACCGGCCCCCATCCGCACTCCTCACTGGATCGCCCTCCACCTCCCCCCCTTCTCGCTCTCGTTCACACCCGGGCTTTTTCACACCCACCTCCTTCACTCCCTTCACAAGAAGACATGTTCCGGCCATTGCAGCTAGCTTCGCGACGCTCTCATTCAAACTAGGGCCTTTTCCCCCACCCTTTCCCCCCCGTTCACACCGAAGCCTATTCCCGTCTTAGTAGAAGTTTCCGACACCCGGACTCGACGATACCCGCCGTGATGCACCCACCCCGCCTCCCGTGCTCGTTCACCCCCGCGCCCATTCACACCCACCACCCCCGCCCGTTCACACCGGGGCCTGTTCCCCCTATTGCAGCGTCTCGACGCCCGGGGTGTCCAGCGTCCACGCGGACATGGCGCCTTCGACGAAGTCGTAGTACCACCCGTGC